GTGTGCATGCGTGAGCTCGTGTGCATGCTCGCATGTGTGTGTCTAAGTGGTGGGGTAGAGACTAGAGTTCCCATTTAAACAGTAAAGGCTGGGCAACTCTCATTCTCAGGAGCATCCTGGCTGACTCCAGGACCTTGGATTTTTGCTGTGAGAACACTCAGTCTTTAAAAGGGAACCTGGCACAGCCATTAGCCTGTGGGGCCAACACTTAGAAGAGAACTAAAACCACTCCGTGGTTTTAAAGGTGAAACAATTTTTGCAAAGCAAATTCTCACAAAAAAAACAACAAAAATTTAAAAACAAACAGGCAGTTCTCTTATGCATAGAAGCCACCACTGTGTGTGAGTAAAAGTTCCAAACCTGTGGGGCAGGTAGAGCCATTTTCCGACACATTGCTATTATCTTCCTCTCTGGGTTTGCGAGCAAACCCGTTTCAGAGGAGAATGAGCGCTCTGGTGCTCCAGGTGTCGCTGGTTGGGGTTCAGAGTGCAGCCGCGTGTTCTGGCCCCGTGGAAGCCTCACCTGAATCGAACAAGGTAGGACCAAATCATCCTTATTTACCAAGTGAAGGACAAGCAGCACAGAGAGGTTAAAGCGCATCCCCGTGACACACAGCTGGGGACAGGAATGCTAACCCGGGTGACAAACTCCACACAGGCATATCTAAATCACTGCTCTACCTCTCTAGGGCCAAAAGACGTGGCGCCTTCCCTCACCTCAGAGCTCTGTTGACAGCGCATATCACACTTGGAGTCTGGTGGTTTCTCAGTGTTTACTGTCACTTTTCGATCAGAATGTAAGCTCCAAGAGAGTGCGCACACTGCTCATGGCTGAAGTTCCGGAGCCAGCGTGTCGTAATGGATTCTCTGAGTGAGAGGCAATGTGCTGAGTCTGGTCCATCAACCACCCTGGGGTTTGGTAAGGAGATGGTATACGGCTGGAGAGAGGGCTCCGTGGTTAAGAACACAGGCTGCTCTTCTAGAGGACCCGGGTTTGATTCCCAGCACCTACATGGTAGTCTCGCTCTTAGAAACCACCTGTAAGTCTAGCTCCAGGGGATCTGATGTCCTCTTCTGGCCTCTGGCAGGTAATGCATGCACACAGTGCACAAGCATACAGGCAAAACACCCACGCACATAAAAGATTTTTAAAGACCGTGTTATATAGTTCTCATACTTTGTGTCAAATGATTTTCTGTCTAAGAAAAAGCCTGAGGTTTACACTGGAACAGAAGTCGCCTCTAAGGTGACAGCATATGACATGGAGAATGAGCACCACCTGGTCTCCTCAATCTACGTTTTGCCTCAATTTTTCTTGAGCTGCTAGAACCTGGGGGCATAGCAGAGTTCTAACTACATCTCACAAGGCTCCTTCCTAACCAAAGACTAGTGTGCCCATGGGGACACCTCTGAGGCATGGGCTTGGCAAAGAGCAACTGAGTGAGTAGACTTGCAAAAAATTAAATAAAGGAGTATCTAGAATTTGTGAAGATTATGACTATGAAAAAAGAAAGTACAGAAATCTATCAGGTGAGTAGGCTAGGGCTACAAGCAGACATTTCACAATAGAGAGCTCTTGAACATCCTGTGTGGTTTTGAAAACTTATCTCTTGAGTGATCGGGACATAATATTACACATTTAGACAAAACTGCACAAGACACATCAATTGTGGAAGACTAGAACTCTAACCCGCTGTGGGGAGGAGTAAGTAGATCCAGGCTCCTCAACCCCTCCATGACTTTTATACAATCCTCAAAATCTGCAAATATTAGTGGATTTTTTTGTTTTTGTGCATGTGGTATGACTTGGTTTCTCAAAACGAAATCTCAGGTATATTTTTTCACTATATTGATAAATTTGGTGGCAACTGATTTTTTTTTTTTTTTGGTCCATTTTTATTTGTCTCCTATGCTGGTGGGTTCTTGTCAGCTTGACACAAAACCAGACCTGGGCGGGAAAGCGTCTGTAAGATTGGTCTGCAGACAAGCTGTGGGCTTGATTACTGGATGTGAGAGAGCCCAGCCCACTGTGGGCGGGGCCATCCCTGGTGATCCTGGGCTCTGTAAGAAAGCAGGTTGTGCAAGCTGTGGAGAACAAGCCGGTAAGGAGCACTCCCGGGTTCCTGGCTTGGTTCTCAAAAATTAGTATCACCCAAAATTAATAAACTCCTTCCACCCCAAGTCACTTTTGTCCAAGGAGCTTTCCCACAGTAACAGAAACCCTAACTCAGTCTTGGAATCTTAAATCTTTGTGCAACTCCTCTTGAGTTTGTTGCAATCTCTCTCCCTTCCCGGCTTATCACGTGGTTGGAATTCTTGGCATCATACTGTAGTGTGGATGGCAACACCAATCCTTGACTACAGAGCAAAGAACTTGAATATAATCAACGTTAATTTTTTAATGAACTAAAAAGCCAGCTTAGCAGGCATGACGACACATCTGCAATCCCAGCTGAGACCCAGAGGGTGGAGGGAGGCGGAACTGATTAAAGACTAGCCTGTGCTGCGGGGAGAGACCCTAAAAAAAAAAAAAGGCATCATCCTTCTGTACTGATTTTACTAGAATTTCAAGTCAGAAGTGAGCGTCAAGTCATTATTGCTGGGCTGGGATGTAGGCCAGGGGTAGAGCATTTGCCTAGAATGCTCAAGGCCCTGTGCTGGATCCCCAGCACTGAAACAAAACCAAACCATTACTGTGGGCTTTGGTTTTTAATTACTGAAATTATGCCTTACCGATATATTAACGTTTGTGCATTTTGTTTGCATAATCAGAATAAGCCCAGCTTGATCATTCATGCTGTGTTACCGTGACAGAACATCTGTCCTGTTCAGAACATCTGTGGAACATTCGCTCCACATACCTGCATCTGCATGTGAGCGCTACCCTGGTCTACGTGTTATAGTGTGCATCTGCATGAATGTACCGTTAATCGTCTACAGATGATGGAATTCGCTGTTCCTCTTAACAGTATGGAAGACTTTATAATTGCCTGAGCCTTGCATGTTTTTGGAGACAGTTTTACACTTGTACCTGTCCTTCCAATGCTTTCAGTCCATTGTCTTAGGGAAGCCGTGTCTCGACTGGGTATCTCTGTTGTGAGGTTTTGCATCCTGTTACAGACTAGAAAAGCTGTTCCAGGGTTGTCTCTGAGACTTGGTCCTCGGAAACACATTTGCCAGTAGCCTAGACCAAGGGAAACGCTAGAGGGAAGGCATTCCCCATTCCACTCCCAAGAGTCAGGGAGCCGTACCCCAAAGGAGTTATCCTGACAATTCATTTGCCCTTCCAAGCTTCAAACAGTTCTCACAATCTGAACTGTTGTAAGCATGGTTTTGAGAGGATACTTTTTCAGAAACAATAACCACCCGATTCTCCATGTTTACAAAGAATGTGACAAAACCCCCATCCAGCCAAATCTTTTTCACCGGCTGGTGATTTGGATGGTGACGGTACCCACAGGCTCAGCTGTCTGAGTGTTTGGATACTTGGACCCCAGTTGGTAGAACTGTTTGGGAAGAATTAGGAGAGAGCCTTGGAGGATGTGTCACTGGATTTGAGGTTTCAGAGGCCCACAGCAGGCTCAGTTAAATCCCTCTCTTTGCTTCCTAGCTGCTGCTGAGATGTAGGCTCTCAGCCACAGCTACAGTACCACGCCTGTCTGCTGCCCTGCTCCCCACTATGATGCTCATGGACTCACCTTCTCAAGCTGTAAGCTCCCAATGAATGCTTTTCTAAGTTTCCCTTGTTCGTTCTGTGTCTTAACAGCAATAGAAAAGTGGCTTCTTGATTTCAGGGATAACAACCATCAGAACGAAAGTGAAGAACGTGATCACAGTACCTTACCCTCTGTGTGATTTCTATGCCTGTCCCTTAATATTTGAGTTTTCGTTAGTGGAAAGCACCAATTCATATATTAGAAATAACCCACTCAATCTCCAGTCTATGAAGGGGCTTTTCCATACATCCTTGATTTCTTTTGTTTCCTACAGAGGAAGGCAATTTAAGTCTCCCTGACAGAAGCTTCTGTATCCAGAGCAAACCTGGTGGGCATTCGTCATTGAGGGGTGAGCACAGCTCAGGAGGAACCTGCAGTCAGGATTCAAGACCCCTGTGGGATTCCATTACTTCACCAGCCACGCTCAAAAGGATGCTGCTTCTACATCATGACCCTTGGCTCTGGGAAAGCACGAGCTGCTTTGAATGACTATGAAGCAGCAGTGAAGGAACGGGCCTCTCAGTTTCTATCTGCCCACAGGGTAGTCGCCTATTATTAATAACAACTGTTGAAAGCAATCTCACTCAATTGTTCAGGAGGTAAAGAAAATGAAGTAAAAATAACAAAGATGCAAGCACTTCCAACAAACAGGGTGAGAAGTCAGGTGTTTAGAACTCCAGGTTAACTTCCCCTCAACAGGCCTCTGGGGAGTTTCTCCCCTTCTGGTGCTCTGGACTTCTGCGCATACCCTGGAAGCCTTGTTAATGCACTCTCAAGGGAACGGCCCTGCCCAAGGCTCCCGCATTAGCCAGCAGTGATTTAAGAGCAGAACGTGGCCTGCTCAAGCATGCACACCCATATCCTTCACCTTCCCCAAGAGCTGGGACTAGAGCCATGTGCCATGTCAGGGAGCCACCACATCCTCTTAAACATGGCTGGGAAGGGCTGCTAAGAGCTGAAAGCTGGCATCCTTCCTCTGGTGCTCACAAGGCTGAAGAGACCCCACGGCATCCCCACAACTCACCCTTCCCAGACAAACAGGCATTTCGTCTCTGCCAGCTGTGTGGTGAGGAGATTTCTCTCAGTTTTGTGCATTTACACGAAGTGCCCACTGCATGCCCCTCTTAGGGGCCTTCTGTTTACTGCAGCTTTGTGTTTCAGCCTATGCAAGTATCTCAGGCGTCTCACCTACAGCGATGCCCCAAGGATCCCCTCTTGAGATGACTGATGCGATCTTACAGTTCCTTCCATGCGAGATGAAGAAAGAAGCACATAAGCCCACGTGTTCTGATCCATGCGTCCTTTATTCCATTACCAACCACCGTGCCACATTCAGGCAACAGCACACAAACTGGCAACCAACGCAATCCAGTTGTACAACGATCTGAGGCTTACAGTACATTTAAGGCTTTTAAATTTGAAAGAAAGAAAAGAACTAAAATAAGACCAAACAACCCCAAACCCAATCCCCCGACCAATACAAGTAGTGTAGCAATCTTAAGCATCTCATTTCTGATGTTCACCTGGCACGACTCCAGTGTCAAAACCCAAGTAACTCCTAAACTAAGAAATCAGCTTAGGGAAATTTTAATTACCTAAATTCTTCAAAGCAGAAACTTGGAATTTTTGTCTTGGAAATGTTATAAAAATTTTAATAGCAAAACATAGGAATAAAAACATATTAACAAAATGTATTCAATCATTTACAATACAAACAAGGAATCTGCAGTCTGTTGAAGCCTGACTAAAGGAAACTACCCATTAGGAATCTGTGCACAATGTCATTGCAAATATGTACAGGACTTTAAAAAAGCCGACGAGAAGGACTTTACAGAAGGAGAGTCGGCCAGGCTTTATTAGACCAACCAGACAGTCAAAATATTAAAACTCTTGGCTAGTAATAAATTTACACTTAAAAAACCCCAGTTTCCTGTTGTTTAAGAATATTCCAGTTGTATTTATATGGTTATAGCTGATGAAGCTGTTGGCGATAGTTCACGGGTGTGGGAAGGACTGGTGTGTTAACACGGCTAATGGAGGATGTCTCACAACAGGTTTCCAGTTACACTACCATAGCTTCACAAATGGGTCTCACCCATGGCACCAGAGCGGAGAGTGCTGCAGTCAGACACTGGCACCTGGGTGAGAGGGTGATCCTGCACCGGCTGGGGAATCAGAGGTGACAGCGAGGGAGACAGACTTGGTCACACTTTAGTCTACGATGCTGGGAAACAGTCCCCACGGTCAGCTCTTGTTCCCACTCCTGCAAGGTCATGCAGCTGAGACCCCAGCTGCTCAGCCTAATGGAAGGTGGTGATTAGGTACAAAAGACAGACTTTGTTAGCTCTTTAAGGACAACACCCCAAGGGCTGGGCCCTTCTCTGTGGTTATTGGGCATCACTGTTAAATCCAGTCAAAGTGTGTGCAAACAAGGATCCTCGCTTCACAGTAATGAGGTAAGGTCGGCCGTCATCTTCAGGAGTTGGGAAGCTCGTGAGATATGAACTGTTTTAGCCGCTCTAGGTACTGTGCATAGAGCTCTATGTCATTGTGCCCAGCCCCCTCAACCCACAAGGGCTCCACAGCACGAGGACAGCGCTCATACATCGCCAAGCCATGGGAGAAATCGATGACCTCATCCTCAGTACCATGGATAACCAATACAGGAGAGGTGACTTTAGATATCTTGTCAATGCTGCAAGACAGAAGTGGGAGGGGAGACAAGGACCGTTTAGTCATGTTCTCGAAAGTGCTGCCCTGTCACAGCTGGACAGTACAGAGCCTGGCCGTGCCCTACGACTAAGAGTAGTGCCCCGGCCCAGGTGATGAACTCACACCAACACACTGTAATTTCTCAGTTTTCTTTCCCCACTGCTAGTCTAGTAATATTTTTTTTCCTTAACATCTTAATTTGGAATCATTGAGGATTCATAGCAAAGGAAGATATAGTTTCCCATAATTCCTAACTCATTTTCTATTGGCTAACAGCAGCCATTACCATGCAGTATTTGTCAAAATCAAAAAACCAACTTTGGTACATACACAGTAGCTAACATCTCCCGCCTTTATTTGGATCCCACTTAGTTTCCACAAGCGTCACTTTCCTATTCCAGCACCCTGTCAACAATACCATACTGCATTTACTACTACTTTTTAAAAAGCAGTTTTATCAAACATCAGACTAGTGCCTAATTTTTCTTTAGATATTCACGTTTCGAGAAGACTTTAAAATGTAAATAGGCGAGCACTTGATATGTCTGAATGAGCATCCATCTCTGAAAAGTGGGACTGGACGTCCTCCAATTCTCAGAACTCTTCTTGAAGAAGCAAATGCAGGCTGGGTAGTGGTGGTGCACGCCTTTAATGCCAGCACTCAGGAGGCAGAGGCAGGTGAAGTGCTGTGAGCTCGAGCCTGGTCTACATAATTGAGTTCAGGACAGTCAGAGTTACACAGTGAGACCCTGTCTTGAACAGACAAAGAAGCAGTTCTGGGCTGGAGAGATGGATGGGTCAGTGGTTTAGAGCACTGGATGCTCTTACAGTGGATCCAGGTTCAACTTCCAGAATCTGCATGGTGGCTCACACCCACCCAACTCGTTCCAGGGGATGAGGCCCTCTTCTGGCTTCTCTGGGTACCAGGCACACATGTGGTACACATACACGAAGGCAAATTACTCATACATATAATTTAAAAAATTTTTTTTCAAGCCCCATTTCATAAAAACAGGGGACTATTTGATAAAAAACAGCATCACTTAGCTCAAAAGCTTAACATGGTGTTTAGATTTTACTCCAACTGTCTTCTGTTAATAAAAACCAAATCCACTCTTACAGGATAAATTCTCAAGGATCTGAAAAATCATCCCAGGGAGGATCTGAAAGGACCATCAGCATCTGTCCGGCTGGGTGCCTGGGCGACTGCTCTCTCTGGTGGGCGGGGGGTGGGGGTGAATACGGTCCATTAAGCCATGAATAAACATATCTTTCCATTTCTTTCCATTTGTCCTTCGGCCCAAGACCTGCTTACTGCTGACTCCTTTCTGCAGCTGATCCTGGTCAGGCTTGTAAAGACACAAGCGGGTCTATCTGTGGGAGTCTCGCTGATAAAGTAACAGCCATCATTCATCACAGCTGAACACTCTGTACAGTCCGTCATTTAATCCTTAGGAAACTGGACCCATGAGGAATTGCCTTCTGTTGATCAGGGAGGGAACTGAAGCTCAGAGAGATTATACAGTAACAGGCACCAGGCCAAGGAGATAATACAGAGGGCTTCCATCAGTTATACATTCCAAAGGTCTACTAGTGACTGTCACAGTCTTTATGAACAACTCATGAAGCTGCCAACTGCTTGAAGGCACCACAGAAAGACAGAAACACCTCAGCAGCCACGGGGTCTGCGAAGACCAGAGCCTCTGTGGCCATGTGCAGCTCTACAGAGCAAGAATCTTACCTGAAACCTACTCCTCCCCTGGACTGAATTTGAAAGTGCCTGCCTTTATAAGCTTTCAATTATACTCAATTAAAAAAGCGATTTACTCATCAGTTACGGCAGCCCTAAGACTATGCCCATAAATCTCGGACTGCCATGGGCATGTGAAGCTGAAAGCCCCGGCAGAGAATAACCAACACTGACGTATAAACAGGAATCATCCTCTCTTTCTGACACTGGAAGGGACTGTGAAAGTGTCTTCCCTTTCAGAAAGAAAACATTCTGCCATTTGGTAGCAAAGGATACTATATTAAAAAAAAAATGTTTGCCAAATCCAATTAATGATGAAAGCCAGTGCAGCCATTAATGGCTTGAAATATATCCCATCAATAATTTAGGGCGCTGAGTAGGAGCAGGGGCCTCTTTGTCTCTAACCTTACGAAACCAGTGACATCACTGCTCTTGACCTGATCTGTAAAGAATACAGTAACCGGGTCAACTTCTTAAAGCTGCTGGGAAAGCCAACTGGGGGGACAACCACACGCCTGGTGGATGAGGCAAATAGCATTTGTTGTTGGTTTATTATTAATTAATAACACATAATTAGTTACAATGGAATTAGTTTCAATTGCTGCATTTTAAGGTATAGGCTAAACTCATCATTTTGTTGCCAGGGTAACTCCTGGAATTATTTTCCACAAACATGCAAAAAAAACTATCTTTAAACAAACTGCCCCTCATTACCAATTCAGCACAAATAAGGCCACATTTGCGAGGCACATTAGCCCTACTTAGCATTCGCAGCCACACCACCAGAAATGCACAGTGCCCCATTCCCAGGAAGCAGGGTTTCAGTGAAGCCTGGTACAAGCTACACAGAGCTGAGGGTCAGCCAAGGTGCTAACATAGATTTCTTCCTGTGAAATGAGACAGTGGAACACAACCTTATGCGACCTAACGCTGTGTTTTCTTCTCCAGCAAGAACAGAACGCTGGCAATTAATAGGTCAGCCCAAGTCTGGAGACCATGCATTACTCCTGCTGATGCTTTTCCTGGAAAGGGTAATACAAGCTGGCTAGCTTCTGCAATGGACTGTGGGAAAAAGCTAGGGGGCAAATACTCTAAAAATACATCTCACGTTATCACTTAAATAACACAAAACAAAACAAAGAGCCAAGAAGGAACTTGCCACGAAAGCACTTTGCTCACAGCTTATATTTACAGAGGATCTCTCTCCCATTAAGCGGAACTAGAGACCAGCAGGGGTCAGGTCAGCCTGCAGGAGGGGCCTGGGCTGGCCAGGATGAGTCTCAGGCCTCTCCAGGGCAGGGCGTGTCTGCAGGGACAGGCTGCAAGTGTAAGATCAGGACAAGGTGGTTTTTCTCCATCACCCCAGGAACACCTTTCTATTCTTCTCACAGAGACTACCTGAGCATGTACCTTTCCCCTCATCGCATCCTCTGACTGGAAAACAGAAATTTCATACATGTGCCTGTTTTTTATTTCAAGGTCTAGACCAGGGTTAATTGCTAATTTATATCTCCTGTGTGTAGCTCTTCAGTAATTGAGCAATACAGGTCCCTCTGAACAAATCAACACTGAGCTGGAAGTTCCTTCAGGACATGCTGCATGTTACAGCTTAATCAATTAGTCCCGGGCACCGGCACTCTCAAGGTCCTTATCCATCATCTGGAGACTGAAGTCTCAGTATGCTACGTTTGCCTCATCCCTGGTGGTGCCCGGGTGAGTCTGACCTGGGGGGATGCTCAATCAATATTAGAAAGTGCACAGATGTGGACTCAGCACTGGCTGACTTCTCACTCACCTAGCTGTGAGCTTACCTGGGGAAAGCATCAAAACAGTATGTTTTTCTGGTATCCGGAAAAGCGACACGCAGACCAGACATCAGCGGGGAGTGGAGGATGACAGCTGCACACTCATACCGCGAGGCCAGGTCCACGGTGGGGACAGTCCCAATGCTCTGCCCATAGAGGATGATGTTCTCAGGGCTCACACCGTATCTGTGGAAAGCAGAGGTTACAAACCATGGATGATGACAACACTATTGTAAGCCCACAAAAACTCCCACATACGTTAACTTAAAACCCTTATCTAACATCTACATTTTAACTTAAATGAACGTGAATTTTATAAAAAAACACAAAGGCCTATTTCAGGACTTAAGGACTAAGGATCTGTCTTCTACATTTGAAAGCAATCACATCTTTTTAAGCCTCTTCTCAGGGCTAAATGCTCCCCAGCTTTTCATCTCAGCAGTGGTCTCCTGACCTGCTTCTGTAGGGGTTCCAGTTGGGTAATGCCCAAGGGGAACACTGACTACACTTCCCAGCCTCCCTTGCAGTTCCAGCCAAAGGCTGATGCTAACAACCATGAGGTGTGGCTTTGAAGTGTGCTTTCCTTCCTCTCCTCCCTCCATGTTGTTGGGAAGTGGTGTCAGGTGAAGGTGTTACAGAAAGCTACACCCATCTAAGGGTAGAACAAATCAGAAGACAGACAGAAAAAGGGACCCTCTTACTAGCCTACAATAAAGAGAGGGACGGTGAGAGACAGAGATACCTCAGTGGGTAAAAACACTTATGGCCAAAGCTGAGGACTTGAGGTCTTATCCCTAGGACCCACATAATGGAAGGAGGGAAACTTCCTACACTGCCCTCTGACTCACGTTATGTGCAACATGGTACACACACACACACACACACACACACACACACACACACACACACACACACAGAGCTATCAAGAGTATACTAAGAGCACCTAGCTAGAAAGGACAAAAAGACGGACAAATGAGTGGGGGGAGAGGGAGGGGCAGAGGAAGTGCAGACACCTAATACAAACACAACACATTAGTTTTGTTATCACACGACAAGACACATTAAAGCAGTGAGTAGCTATTTTATATCCAGGAGACTGGGGAAAATGAGAGGCAGACAGCCTTCAAGGTGAAATGTGCTGTTTAATCCTCCCCGTCATCTTGGCTGCATCTGGAGTCCCCTAGGAAGCTCCAGCCATCTCTATACATGTGTAAGTTCTGCAGAGGTTCTCGCTGAAGGTGCCAGCCCATGGGTCGGGTCTCGGAGGAACACAGTTGGAGGGAAAAGGGAAGTGAGTACTAGCACCCATCTCTGCTCCTTCCTGACCACAGATCCAGTGTGACCAGGCACCTCGTGTTCTTGCTGTCCCGCCTTTACCCCCCTGTACTCACACTGCAAGTCATTAGAAACCCCATCCTTCCTTTTGTCACAGGGAGGAGAAAAGTAATACAGATGACAAGAGTGAACCACAGAATGTGTTACCTACTGAAGGAGTATAAATTACTACAAAAACCTCCGGAAAACAATCTGGCACTCTGACACTAGCTGGTAACACTAACGATACCTAATGTGCAAAGTGTGTAAAGCCACCAAAAGGAAAAGCTATTGCTTACTGCTCACTTGATGCAATACTAAAAAACAGGGATTTCAATTCCTACACAAGTGGTGATGGTGGGACAGGGAAGGGTTTCATCCGGGAAGGTTGAGTCACTTGCTCAGTGTGCAGAGTGGCAATGGTCCTGTTATGGTGTGCCTCTGCTGGTCACTAGGCTGGACATCTGCCAGTTGATGATCCTCTGAGATCCGTTGCAAGAATCTGGGGTCAGTTTCCCAAGGTATTCTGTAGATCTTACTGGCACTGCCTTTGCATCCTTCCCCAGGAACTTAGACTGCACTTCTAATCTGCCCTATTCTGTGAATCATCCCATGATTATGGGAAGCAGGTGTCCCGGTTTCTGGATCTCAGTTGGGTCTCAAGTCCCCTGTCTCACTGACTCATGTTAATGACATATACCCTGATAGCCTGCCAGGACTCTGCCTTCTGCTCGGGGCGGATCTTGGGTATCACCTGATCTGACATGCCCACGTCAGACCTGCTCCTCTCTGTGACCTCCTGCTCTCAGTTCTATCTGCATGGACCACCATAGTGCCTACACTCTGACCCCTGCCCTCTGCCCAGGGAAGAATTTGGGTATCAACCAATTTGACAGACGCCCATGTCAGACCTGCCTTGCTCCCAGTTCTAGCTCCATGAATGGCCACGATCCTCATTTCAATTCATCTCCCACTCCCACCACGTAAGACACCTGTCTGGAAACAAGGCCGAGCAAACGACCTTTTACCGTGTTACTTCCTAACCACACCCTTCGGCAAATCCCTACCTCCAAGCCCACAGACCTAAAAGAACCACCACCTGGCCCAGATAACTATTCCACCCTTTCCTCTCTAAGTAGCCCATCTGCGAGGAAAGCTTAATCTCCTGCTGATCATAAACGCTCTCTGCCTGCAAACCCTTGATGGCCTTCATCACTGCCAACCGCTGGGCCCTATGGACTCGTCTTCCCAGCTCTCCCTCCTTCTCACACTTTCCTAAAGCCTCTAGTCCGCTGCAGTATCGTTTGCCTGAGCTACTCATTCATGTTCACTGAAGTGAGGTGAGGGGTATGTGATGAGCCACTCTGCTGCATATAAGCCTTGCTCTGCTGGTGGGATGTAAGCCCATAGCCTTAGGTGTACCCTTTAGGAAAGCTAAGGACATCCATGTCCAGGGATCAGTTGGAGGCATCTCCAGCTTTGAACTAAATATGATTCCAGCCAAAGGCTACTTGTGTAAGATATAGAAACACACACACACAAGCAAGCACACGCATGCATGCACACACACACACGCATGTGCGTGACGGTACTGCTTAACTTTTTTCCCCCTGTTTTTGCTGTCTGCTTCAGGTAAGTTTCTGGTCCAGAGCTTGCCCAGCAGACTAGGCCAGGCTGGCTAGTAAGCCCCAAGAATCTGCCTGTCTCTGCCTCCTTAGTTCAGAGATGACATGTGTACACCAACATGCCTGTTTTTTAACATGGGTTCTAAAGACCAAATTCAGGTCCTACAAAGAGCCATCTCTCCAGCTCCAAAAGCTATTAAAAAAAAAACTAAAATCCATGCATACTTAATATTTCTATGATCTAAAACTCACTGAAGTCTGGCATCCTGGAGATACTGGATAGGAATACAATCTCCAATTTGCAGGGCAGTGAACATGAAAGTCGCAGCAATACCAGTAAGCATATAAACTTTGGTTTTACGGGCATGACCTAAGGTTTTCTAGAAACAAAGCTCAAAGTGTCAGAGTCGGGGTCTGAGGAAGCCATGGTCCTGGGCCCAGCTTCCCATGACCAACAGCGTGACTACAGGCATCTCCACGTTCTGCTCAGCCTCTTCCAATGTCCACCACGGTTTTGTAACTCAAGCTACACACAGTCCAGGAGTGGCCTGGAGCCAGAGACGCCATGCCCCTCTCAGCATCAAAAGGTGTCGGACAGGAAGACCCACCCTGGAGGCTGAGTGAGCCAGGGCACTGTCCCATGAGAATAATCACCTATAACATTCAAGTCATTTGTTTTTGTTTCAACGTAAAGCTTTCTTCTCTCTACGGCAGAGCACAAGCCCGACCTCCCCAAGACACCCTGCATCCTGTGTGAGTTAATGGGCCCTGACTTTGTCCTTTGTCAAAAGCTTCCTCCTTTATCTTCAAAACTGTGCTTGGCACAGTTCCATTGACTTTGAAGTCAACATTTTAAATATTTCAGAGCTAGAATTCCTAGTAGGATGAAGACAAATACTCCAGGTAGTGGGAATGTTAACGGGAGGACAGGGTCTGAGGATAAGGGGAGACCCTTACCTACTGTGGGGCAAAACTGCAGAGCCAAACAGCCCGGCTGGAGAGGGAAGCAGGCACACACAGGCCAGCCCCAACCAGGCTGGATCCTCTGCCTCCAGGCAGGCGAAGTGAGCTGACTGGGGACTTTCTGGGCATAGAAAGTTTAATCAACACGAGGTTTACATTTTAAGTATGAGGAAGAGGAGAAAAACCACTCATCAGAGAAAACATGTTGAGCTCCCCTTTTCTAGACCTCTGCAGTCTGGGGAGGTCTCGGCGACTGACTAACCAAAGCCTCATGCACTGGCTTCCTGGCTGTTTATTCCAGTGATGAACAGGAAGCACACGAGAATCTGCTGCATGCTACTGCTCGAGAAAGTAAAGCACTTACAGGTTATTGGCACAGACTATGTTTCTTTTCTTTCTAATTTTTAGTTAATTTAGTTGAAAGGGACATTTACTTTTTGTAAACTGTCCCCTCTAGAAGCTTTACAATTGTGAACACAATCAGTGTTCCCTCCATACCAGTTATAAAACCAAACAGTCCAAATAAACCACGAAAAGTAGCCTTACTGGTTCCAAGACACAACAATAGGGAGGGGGGAAGTGGAGGCAAAATTACATGCTCTTCAGTCACATGTCTTTGAAGGAATAAAAAGTAGACGGATTCAAACTTCTCAGTTTGTACAGACAGGTACAAATGGAGGCAAAATGAATAATACAGCCAGTGGGTTTGGTCCATACAGAGAATAGAGGATGGGTATGGGGAGCTGGGTATAGCTCTGGGAAGGAAGGCAGCTCACACAGGAACCTGGAGGTCAGAGGGGTGCTACTAAAATTGGAGATGTAGCATGGAAAGACTGGGGGATCAGGCACAAGATCCCCAGGACACAAGAGCTTGGCTGCAAGCTGTGGTCTGGGGAAGACAACTGTCTACATCAATGTGTACATGACAGGAAGGCTCAAGGGAAGGGAAAAGGAGCTTCAGACAACACTGGAGAGAGAAGGGCTGACAAAACTGGCCGAATCGAGGAGCTGCAAAAGAGATGAGCTGGAGCTAGTCAGAATTTTGTTGCTCTAGGAAGTCCAGTTTGGGGTATGTTGAGTTTTAGGAAACTAAAGTAAACCTGTTGTACCACATCATCTTCCAAGCCAACTGCTACAATCTCCCTGAGTTCAACTGTGCCCACTGTGTATGAACTTCCCAGCATGGCTGCTTCACAGTCACCTATGCCTCTGCTGGTAGCCCTGCACCCACTGCTCTGTAAATAATGAACTCATTGGTTCCCCAGAGTGAGCTCTGGTAGAACT